TTTGCTACTACAGTATCCAATAGCAACCATGACATCAGAGTTCTAGAATGCACATTAAAGGACTAAACTGCTGGCATCACAACATCACAGACTGGCATTCAGAACCACACAACCACAGATAGAGAGAAGTTGCATTTTGATTTTGAGAAGTCATCAAACTTGAGAAGTCAAGAATTTCAGTTTTTTACTGTATAACGTTTGCATGTTATATTTCACTATGGGGTGTACACAGAGCTCTAAGAAACAAACGCAGAAGTGGCACAAAAAAACTAAGGTTCAACAGAGGAAAACCCTGGAACCTTCATCACCTTTCTGTGTTCGAGCCAAGGAAGGCAAACTAGGGCGTCTTCGGTGGAAAGAAGAGAAAGCCTGCATTCTGGCAGAGCTGAACAAATACAAAAAGCTGTGTACAACCCAAACTGATAACCTGAAGGAGGCTCATCTGAATTATGAGCAGGACAAGGCAACACACCTTCAGACCATACAGGACCTGAAGAGTTCTCTGCACAGAAAGGAGCAGGAGTTGGAGAGCACAGAGAACTCTATGAAGGTCCAGCTGGAGCAACACAGCCTTGAGATAAATCAGCTCACGACTGCTCAGAAGGAGGCAGAGCAGCAGTGGCAGGAGGAGAGGTGCTCCCTCCAGGTAGCTTTGGACAAAACCCAGAGCTGCTATGCTGCCCACCTAGAGCAGCAAAGTGAAAAGGAACAGCAGTTTGTGGCTGATCTACAGTCAGTCAACAAGAAGGCAGAGAATGAGCGTCTCCAGTGGAAACAGGAGAAAGCCTCCCTGCTGGATGAAATCGAGAAGTGCAGAGCCTCTAGTGAGACTCAGCAGAGGGATCTACTGCAAGCAAAGGATCTCACCGCAGCACTAAAACACACTGAAGAACAGCTTGAGTGTTGCCAAGTCCAGTGGCAAAAAGAGAAAGCCTGCTCTGCTTCCAAGTTGGACACATATAAACAGCTCTTAACGGGCCAAACAAATGTCCAGAAGAAGACTCACATGAAGTATGAGCAGGACAAGGCTATGCACCTTCAGACCATACAGGACCTGAAGAGTTCCCTGCAGAGAAAGGAGCAGGAGTGGGAGAGCACAGAGAACTCCTTGAA